GGTGTGGGTCTTTTACTCCGTCCACACCTAGCGAATCACATTTTCCACCATGAATCTAAACATAATCGTATCATTCTTGTAGATCTACAATTTGCTAATAAACAAAAGTTACGAGTAATTAATTGTTACCCTCCACCTGGCAATCATGCTATTAGGAAACAGATACAAGTAGACCTCTTGAAATACATTCAAGAGGCATATGTGAATAACTATCATATAGTACTTCTTGGAGATCTTAACGCAGACATTGATAATCCTAAGCTGCATTCTCAGGACAAAAGATTTTTTACTAATCTGAACAACCTTAATTTGTTTGACACTTTCACTGTCAAATATGATTCCCAAAGATCTGACTATCCTACTCATCAAGGTCCAATGTCGTCTTCTCGGATTGATTACGTTTGGTCCTCAGTTGATGTCATCTCAAACTTCATAGGTTGTGAAACAGTTCAACTCGCATCTACTTTAACTGATCACTCTATTGTCGTCCTGTATATCGAAAACTTCTTGGATATTAAAAATAACAAGAGAAATATTCCTTTGAAAAAGGTCTATGACTACGACAAAATGACCGAGGATAATTGGTCAGCCTTCGCTAATAAGACAGATACTTTGGCTAATGGTTGCTATTTACGTTGCCTTAACAATAAAACTGTATTTGATCAGAATAAATTAAACCAATTTTGGGATCTCTTACAAGAATGTATCATTAAGGCTGCAGCCTCTACGATTCCCTCACACCAATCTAAAGGACACCATACCATAAAGAGACCCCCTCTCTTGTCAAAATTATATAAAGACCTTAAGCTGCTATATAAGCTGAAGAGTTTGATAAAGAAAATGGCTACCACATCCAGTCTTCCTACACAATGGTATACTTCAATCGAAAAATTCTACACTATTATGAATGATTTTGGCATAGGATATGTTAGGCTTCCTCCTAATCCCACTACTATCATCGCCAAATCAATTTGCTCTGATATTGATCTGCTGCTGGGCTGCATTCTTGTAAAATCAAAATTACACGAACATGAGTTCAAATTAAAATCTATTCAACTCGCTATTGAAAGAAG